CACTCAGCATAATGTCCTCCAGTTTCATCCATGTTACGAGATGCTTCACAGATTCATTGTTGTTCTTTCTCGTTGCATAGTACTCCATTGTGTGTATGTGCCATAGTTTGTTTATCTGTTCATTTGTTGATGGGCTTCTAGGTTGTTTCCATCTTTTTGCTATTGTGAACAATGCTGCCATGAACACAGGTGTGTATGACAAAATTTTTAAAATATTATGTTGTGTTTTATTCCTTGCAGGCTTATTGAGCAAATGGAAATTTATTCCTTGTCTTTGAACAACACTTCAGTGGTGGAGCCTAATATAGCAATACAATCTGTTAATTTGTCTTCAGAAGACACTGGAGGGTCTGCAGATGTTCGCTTTACTGTGTTGAGAGGTGAGCTGCTTATAATAGCAGAGTGCATTCTGCTACCAGCCATGAGTAATGCTTTATTTATGAAAATGTAGACTTTCAAAATTCTACTTTCTCCTTCTCATAGGATCTAGCAATTCTCTAACTTACAGTTCAATACAAGTAGATAAACAAGTGAGTAACCTACAACCAGATGCACAGACTGAACTCCAGATTTTGCTCAAGACCAAGCAAGGTAGGTCTCAAATTTCATTAAATTAAAAAATACACTCAAATTCATGGAACTTATAACTTAAAATTCACTGAGGGAGGAAGAATGTTTACTTAATTTCACACTGAATAATTTGTATTTCTATATGTTTGACCTCTTAAATATTTTGGTAATCTCCACTTTACTAGTCTAAATCATACAGATGATTTCTTTTCTTTTCTTTTTTTTCAAAACTAGCACTTCAGAGGGTAGCAGAGTTGAAATGCTCAGGTCATGGACACAGATCTGTTTTCCTACAGAAATCTTGCTAGAGCAGTTCTGCTTTACATTCATATGTTTAAAAAATATTCAGTCCACAAGCTCTGCTCATATTTACTAATGACATGACACTCACAGACTTTTCCTGTGGACCTTCCCTTTGAATATTTTATTAAATTAGCACAGTCCTTACTTATTAGTAGATTTTTGATATCTCCTCTAATTTGATGCCCACCACGAGCACCCTATCATCTTGCATACGGCCCTTAGAATTTTCATGTCTAACTTCAAATGGTTGTACTTTACAAGTCTCAAAAAAAAAAAAAAAAGACTGCTTCATTTAAAATCAGGAAAAGTATGTATCAGAGTTGTGTCCTTTCAATATACTTATTCAATCTGTATGCTGAGCAAATAATCTGAGAAGCTGGACCGTATGAAGATGAACAGGACATCAGGAGTGGAGGAAGACTCATTAACCACCTGCAATATGCAGATGGCACAACCTTCCTGGCTGAAAGTAAAGAGAACTTGAAGTACTTACTGATGAAAATCAAAGACCATAGCCTTCAGTATGGATTACACCTCAATATAAAGGAAACAAAAATCCTCACAACTAGACCAATATACAACATCATGATAAATGGAGAGAAGATTAAGGTGGTCAAGGATTTTGTTTTACTTGGATCCACAATCAACATCCATGGAAGCAGCAGTCAAGAAATCAAACGAAACATTGCATTGGGCAAATATGCTGCAAAAGAACCCTTTAAAGTGTTAAAAAGCAAAAATGTTACTTTAAGGATTAAGGTGCGCCTGACCCAAGCCATGGTGTCTTCAATCGCCTCATAAGCATGTGAAAGCTGGACAATGTATAAGGAAGACCAAAGAAGAATTGATCCTTTGAATTACAGTGTTGGTGAGGAATATTGAATATACCATGGACTGTCAAAAGAACCAACAAATATGTCTTGGAAGAAGTACAACCAGAATGCTCCTTAGAAGTGAGTATGGGGAGACTTTGTCCTGCTTACTTTGGACATGTTATCAGGAGGGACCAGTCCCTACAGAAAGATACACTTGGTAAAGTAGAGAGTCAGTGAAAAAGAAGAAGACCCTCAACAAGATGGATTGACATAGTGGCTGTAATAATGGATTTATACTGTAGACCTTCCCTTAGAATATTTTATTAAACATAGAAACAATTGTGAGGATGATACAGGACCAGGCAGTGTTTTGTTCTGTTGTATGTAGGGTCACTCTGAGTTGGAACCGACTCGATGGCACTGAACAACAACAGTTTGACAAAAATAATATGCAAACCGAACACACACACTTACTTCCATTCTCTCTCTGAATAAAAAGTCCAATGTCAGAAAGTAAATATTTTGGAAAGAATAATTTATAATAACACTGAAAAAGAAGAAAGAGTATGTTGTGAAATTTGGCACCCATTTGATTTGGCCACATGCTTTGTGAGGGTAGAAACTAAGTCTATGTCTTTTTTTGATATTATTTTCTTTAAATTTTAAGATATTTCATGCATACATAAAAGTACAGAAAATAATATAAGCAGCATTTATGTATGCACCAGTAAGGTAAACAGATGTCAAAATTTACCATATTGACTTCCGGGCAACATGGTGCTATAGACAGAAGCACCACGCCATCCCTCTAGAGCAAAGATCCAAAAAACTAAGTCAAACAGAGACATACGTCTATCCTGAAACCCTAAGCATCGAAGGAAGAGATAAAGAACTCAACCAAACACCGAATGGAATAAGAAACTGACTGAGAACAGAAAGCCAGGAGAGATACATGCAGAGGTCCCCTGTCAGCTACTGCAGCATGGATCCACCATCTTGGACTCCTATCAGAGATCAGTGAACAGGAGGTACGAGAAAGCAGCTTTATGGAGTTTCCAGCACGAGACAGAACAACCGATAACCAGCAGTATACGCTTTCCCAAACCCCACACTTCTTCACCCCCACTCAGCCTCCTCTGCTTTCTGCGGCCACACTTAGCCAGGAAGCACTGGCTTCACCCCAGTGTCTCTTGGATTCCACCTGCCTGCACTGGCCAGCTCCCTGAGTGCCATTTGTTGGCTGCTGATGTTGCTTTTTTCCTCTTCTTTAGATTTCTTCCTTACATCTCACCACCTCCCCCTCCATTCTCTCAAATACCTGGCTCCAAGTGCCATCCTTACTTCTTCTGGAAAGGTTGCGAAACACTGCTCAACTGTGAAACTGCTTCCCAGCCCGTGCCACCACACTGGTGGGACCCCTGGGGCTTTTATTGTTTGTTTGTTCTGATTTGATCTGTTTTGATTTCTTTCTTTGTTTGTTTTCTTTTTCTTTTGTCAGCTTGAGATCCCCTTCTAGCCGGGCAGTACTGTGGCTTGGGAGCTACTTCCTTACTCTGTGCAGACGCACTGTGACATCCCTGGGGGCATTTCCTTTTTTCTTGTTTTTTTTTTTTTTTTTCCTTTGTTTTGTTTTCTTCTGTCTCTTTTTCCCTTTTTGTCTTTCTTGATTTCAGGTTTCTCATCTCTCTATACTTACTTTCTCTTTCTGTCTCCAGAATACCTGGTGCTGTGTGACACTTGTACCCCTTCCAGCTAGGCTTTACTTCATGGTCTGGGAGCAACTTCTCCAGTCCTAGCAGCCACACCAGTGGGATCCCTGGGGGCTTTTCTTTTTCTTTTCTTCCTCTAATTTTATTTATTACTTTTTTTTCTTTTACCCTTTTTCTTTTTTTCTCCATTTCTCAGTCTCTCATCTCTCCATTCCAACAGGAAGCTCCCTTAGCACTCCTTGTTTGTTTGTGTTTATGTTTTTGGCTCCTGTTCCTCTCTTCTCACTCTCCTCTTTCCCATACCCATCTTAGCTCCACACATCACAATCTCCACCTTTCTTCCTGCCTACCTGCATCATGCGCTGAACATCACACTCCTAAGCAGCACAGACACGGCCTACTGGAACTTGCCCTGCACTGATTCATGGACCACTCTGTTGGTCCTAGTATCTGTCACAAACAAACCATCCTAGGAACTCCCCTTCAGCTGGACCTGCCCTGCTATACCATACCTGAGTGACTGGCCCTGCCCGTTGGAAAAGGAGGTGAAAAGTGTCATGCCCACAGATGATCAAACAACATAGAATGCACAGCCCGCCTTCTCAGACATAACAAAATAAAACAAAAATCAGGAAGAAACAAACAAATATGAAATCAATAAATGAGGAAAATAACTACTGAAAGTCCCAAAGACAGCAGAAAATATCAAAACATATAGAAAAACAGGACAGGATGGGTCCAGTAGCCATCCAAAATAAAACACCAGATGACTTTCCAGTAGAAGAAAAGCCCTAGAACTACCTGATAGGGAATTCAAATCTTTAATACTCAGAATTATCCAAGAGTTGAAGCAAAAAGCAGACAAAAATGAGGAAAAAATAGACAAATTCATGGAAAA